CACACAAGTTAATGATTGAATGTCATATTAAGTACAAAAGATCACTAACAAGCTCAGTGCCCCCCAATTAAATCTCTGCTCCCCCACCCCCCAAGAACTGAGCCTTGGTTTTTAAGGACTGGATGGTCAGGCACGTATAAAACAATGCATGGTGGGCAAGTTTTACATGCACAAGTACGCCCACCATCCTACCTACCATCCCCCCTCATTTCTGATAAGCGGGACCCCGGGGTGGAGGGCCAGATCCCCGGAACGGAATGGGGCCCTTCACATGGGAGCTCTGATATCAGCGGACTGTTAAGCTGGCCGGTGTTCTGCATTCCAGCCCCGAGTGTTTGTATTCCCAGCGGAATCAGAATGCCTAGCAGCGCTTTCGTACAAGAGCTCTCCTCTGAGCAACACTGCTGTGGACATTCTTTACACGAAAACAAGACGCCAGCCAAAACCAGTTTGGCTCAGCGGATAGAGCGTCGGCCTGCGGACTGAAGGGTCCCAGGTTCGATCCGGTCAAGGGCATGTACCTTGGTTGCGGGCACATCCCCAGTAGGAGGTGTGCAGGAGGCAGCTGATCGATGTTTCTCTCTCATCGATGTTTCTAGCTCTCTATCTCTCTCCCTTCCTCTCTGTAAAAAATCAATAAAATATATTAAAAAAAAAAAAAAGACGCCAGTCTTTACCCACTTTCCCAGGCGTAAGAGTCGCGGGCCTGACGTCAGGAATACCTGGCGTTTTATTGGCATCTACTTGTCCACTCAAAAATATTTAAGTATCAGTTATTTACTTTTAAAAAATATATATTTTTATTGACTTCAGAGAAGAAGGGAGAGGGAGAAAGAGAGATGGAAACATCAATGAGATAGAAACGTCAATGATGAGAGAGAATCATGGAGCTGCTGCCTCCTGCACGGCCCACTCTGGGGATCGAGCCCGCAACCCGGGCATGTGACCTTGACCGGGAATAGAACCGTGACCTCCTGGTTCATAGGTCGACGCTCAATCACTGAGCCACACCGGCCGGGCTACATATCAATTATTTACATTAAAAACAGCAACATTTATTATTCATGTTTTAAAGTAGTATATACTTGAGAAATGACAAAACACACTATTTAAAATCACTTAAATTAGCGAATAAAATGAATGCATTTGCCATTTGAACTTTCAAAACATCGTGCTTACCGTTACAGTATCCCTTCCTTTCGATTTTGGCACTCAGCGAGACGGGACCCGACGTGAAAAACCAGCAGCCAACCATTTTCTCTTGAGTTTTAAATACGGGGCTCTTGGAAATTTCAAATGATAAAACAGCTTTAATTACACCAGTCCAGGAAATTCACAGAGCTTAGAAAATGATGTTATTCTTCCTGACGGAGTTGTAAAGGAATGTTCCAAAAGACAGATCAACCTTTCTGATCTCCTGTGACATTTTCGGTAGAATACTTACTGAAACAGGAAGCACTGAAAATCATTCCCTTGTTAGGAAAACTCAGGTGAATGTTCAGATTCACGTTAGGGTGGGACCATCCTAGTCATTACGTTTCTGGGAAATGATATACCATCCCTTACAAAAGCAACCAGCACCTCTAGTCACCCCTGTTCACATGTGAGAACTACGATTTTATTTTAAGACTTTATATGGAGATCAGGTCAAAGGAGACATGGCAGAAAAATCAATAATCGCTATGTTCTATGTGTCTTGGCATGTACACGGTGGGATAAGCCAACTACCCTTTTTTTCCTCCCCACTTCCTCCAAAATGCATTGTTAGGCAGATATTTCCAGTGTTTTTAACGTAGAATGTCTTGTGGTTTTGGTGTAATGGCAGGAAAACATACCCAGGGTTAAGGATCCAAATGGTTATGAACACACCGCCGCACTTTCCACTCCACTAGCAGCAAAGGAAATGATAGGAGACTCAAAAGGCTCGGGTTACAAGATGCACTGATCACCAAGTTCATTGTAAAGCCCCAAGTTACAATGTTTTTCTTCTTTGTTTATAGAAAGAATAGTAGCCCTAGTCGGCTTGGCTCAGTGGAGCGTTGGCCTGTGGGCTGAAGGGTCCCAGGTTCGATTCCAGCCAAGGGCACATGCCTGGGTTGAGGGCTCGATCCCCAGTGGGGGGCGTGCAGGAGGCAGCCGATCCATGATTCTCTCTCATCACTGATGTTTCTATCTCTCTCTCCCTCTCCCTTCCTCTCTGAAACCAATACAAATATATTTTTTAAAAAGAAAGAATAATAAAGGATAATAGTATTTTTTTTGAGGCAAAAAAGAAAAGCTCTTTAAATCATTTGCCACAATGGCCCCATAAATAGTTTATCTCCCAATTCGAATTAGTTTTTAAAAATACAAGACATGTAGCATTGTCAGTTTTCAAAGGTGTTAAGCTGGGGGTAAGCCATAGCTATAAACCGGATCGCTAGGTGCTGGTTATTTTAAGATATGGGTCTCAAATGTGCAAACAGAGCACATCTGTTAATATTTTCACAATCTAAAGGTGAACATTAGAGTAAATTCTATTCCATTTTCATGCGAAA